TTTTTCTTTATGTTTATTGGCCATTTGTGTTTTCTCTTCTGTGACAGTCATGTTTATGCTTTTTGTTGACCTTTTGGAGATTGTCTTTTTCCTATGTATTTTTAGAATTTCGAGCATTCTGGATAACTAATCATTTATAAGTTATCTATGTCACAACTCTCGTGAAACAATATTATATAAAGGTAAGTACATGGCTCGGCGCCCATAGCTCAGTAAGTAGGGCACAGGCCATATACATCGAAGCTGACGGGTTTGAGCCTGGCCCGAGCCAGCTAAACAACAATGACAACTTCAACAACAACAACAAAAATAGCCCGCCGTTGTGGTGGGCACCTGTAATCCCAGCTACTTGGGAGGCTAAGACAAGAGAATCACTTAAGCCCAAGAATTTGAGGTTGCTGTGATCTGTGACGCCATGGCACTCTACTCAGGGCAACATAGTGAGACTGTCTCCAAAATAATAATAATAATAATAATTAAAAAATAAATAAATAAATGAATAAATAAATGTAAGCACATGGATACTGTAGTGAGAGGTTCTGGGTTCAAATTCCATTTCTGTCCCTTCTTGTGTGACTCTGAACAAATAATTTATTATTATCATTATTTATTTTTTGTAGAGACAGAGTTTCACTTTATCGCCCTCAGTAGAGTGCTGTGGCATCACACAGCTCCCAGCAACTTCCAACTCCTGGGCTTAGGCGATTCTCTTGCCTCAGCCTCCCGAGTAGCTGAGATTACAAGTGCCTGCCACAAGGCCCGTCTATTTTTTTGTTGCAGTTTGGCCAGAGCGGGTTTGAACCCGCCATCCTCGGTATATGAGGCCAGCGCCCGCGCCCCACTCACTGAGCCACAGGCGCTGCCCCACTCTGAACAAATAATTTAACCTCTCTCCGCTTTTGTTTCCTCATTTGGAAAATGGGAGTGATAACGGTATATATGTCACAGGGCAGGAGGGGAGCTAAATGAGTTAGTACATGTAATGTGTCAGAACAGCGCCTGACACACAGTAAAGAGTAAAATAAATGTTTGCTAATAATTGCTTCCGTTTGGTAGTGCCCATGTCATTTTGAGATTGAGTGGATTCCTGAAAGCGCTCATCTCACCTGGGGTCGCCTGCCCCATTGTGGGTTCTCTTGCATCACACTTAACAGCGCCAACCATAAACTGCTTCCCTAAAGTCATGCGTCACAACACACATACTGTAACTGGGGTGGCTCCATCTTGTACAAACACCTAGAAAGTGATGTCAGCCCTTCGAAGATACCTTAAGCCAATTAAGTTCTTCCTTATGAATGGAACATTAGGTAACCTCAAAGAGCTTCTCTCCAAGTGCAGAGAGATTTTTTTTTTTTTTTTTTTTTGAGACAGAGCCTCAAGCTGTCCCCCTGGGTAGAGTGCCGTGGCATTACAGCTCACAGCAACCTCCAACTCCTGGGCTCAAGCGAGTCTCCTGCCTCCGCCTCCCAAGTAGCTGGGACCACAGACGCCCGCCACAACGCCCGGCTTTTTTTTGGTTGCAGCCATCATTGTTGTTTGGCGGGTCCGGGCTGGGGATTCGAACCCGCCACCTTAGGTGTACGTGGCTGGCGCCTTAGCCGGTTGAGCTATAAGCGCCGAGCCAAGTGCAGAGAGATTAATGCCAATAAATGTTGTGCTCCACTTTAAAGATCCATAAACACCCTAAAGATATTTAGCCCAATTTTGAGACCCAACAGTATCGTGATTTATTCTACAACAATTTAGGAACGTCTCAACTCAGAATTGGGGCCCCTACCCTCCCAATCTCTCTCCCTGGGACCCCTTCCCCCAACTTGTGCCTTTCTTTGTAGTGTCTCAAAGACTGGTAAACTACAAGCGTACCCAGAGGCATGCCGGAAATGCCCCTTAATTGAACGAATGATTGGGGAAGGAAGGAACATGGTTGCGTTGAACGAATGATTGGGGAAGGAAGGAACATGGTTGCGTTGCTAAGCAGAGGTGAAGAAAGGCGCTAAGGACCGTTGGATAGGTAGCAGGGCGCTGATTGGCTGGTCTCCAGAATGGAGCCGCGTAATGCGCGACGTTGGAGAATCTTTCTTCAGACCAGGTAGTGGCTGCCCTGCGGGTCAGGTCGTGGTGCGCGGAGAGCAGCCCTGCCCACTTGGCGGGTCCGGGGCGGGGGCGGGCGCGGCAGCCCTTCAGGCTCCGCCTCGCCCCGCCCTCGGGCCGCTGGGCCGCGTCCCAAACGGAGGCCACGCCGTCGTCGGCGCCTGCGCAGAGCTGCCCGAGCCCGAGCCCGAGCTCGACCTGTGGCTCCCGTCTCATCTCCGAAGATGGCGGAGCGTGGCAGTGTCGGCACGAACAGCAACACATCTCTGAAGGGGATGCGGGAGAGGATGGGTGAGTGGACCGGAGGCTGTCGGGGGGGCTAGGGCCCGTGTGGGAGGCGGAGCTCCCGCGGCCTCGAGGGCCGTTGGAGCGGCGCGATGAGGGCCGGAAAACTTTTCTCCGGAGTTGCCTCGCGCTGTCCAGTTCCCCCTCAGCCCTGCCGGAGCCCCGGTGACGGGACTGGGCGTCGTTCTGGGCGGGGAGCGGGAAGGGAAACGGCCATCCTATGCGGCCGACGGCCGAACTGCCGCCACCCAAACCCCGACGCCCGGCGGGCGGGGTGCGAGGGCTCTAACGGACGCTGTTGGGGCGGGCGGGGTGGGGGCGATCGGAACGCCGGAGCCCGCGAATGGCCCCGAGCCCCGCCTGCGGTTGGGGCGCGGCGAACGGACGTTCGGCTCCTCGGGATGTGCGGACCCCGCGCGCCCGCGCCGCCTCCCTGGCCGGGACAGTCCTTCCAGGCATGGAAAGTTTGAGTTTTTCCTCAGTCAGAACTGGGGAGTTAGCAGGTTAAGGCTGGTTTACTGTCGCAGCCCTGGCCTCTCCGGAAGGTTTGCCTTCGGCACCCTCCAGGGCAAGGTCGGGGGTGGGGGCGAGGATGAAACTTGGCTGCGTGCATCTCCTGATTTGCCTGTTGTAGCACGGGACTTAAGCAAGATGTCACCATCCGTGGGACATCTTGCAGTGCCTAGGCTGAAATGACCGAGAATGCGCGCTTCAGAGGGCTTTCTCCTCAGAAGGTCCCGTCGTGAAAGCAGAATTTGGCGGCGCGTTGCTGAGTCCAGGAGACCGCCCCGCTCCCTGTGCGAGCTGGTACTTCTTGCTTGTGGGAGGTTGCTGGTAGCCTGTCCTCAGGCTCGGTCCCTGTGCTCCGAGCACGAATAAAACAATTTTGCTGGGCTGGGCACCGTGGCGCACGACTGTAATCTCGGCATCCTTGGAGGCCGCGGCGGGTGAATCGCTTCAGCTCAGGAGTTCGAGACCAGCCTGAGCAAGAGCGAGACCCTTTATTTTCTTTATTTTCTTTCTTTATTTTTTGAGATAGAGTCTCACTGTATGGCCCTTGGTAGAGTGCTGTGGCGTCACAGCTCACAGCAACCTGAAACTCCTGGGCTTAAGTGAGTCTCTTGTCTCAGCCTCCCAAGTAGCTGGGACTACAGGGGCCTGCCACAATGCCCTGCTATTTTTGTTGAGGTTGTCATCGTTGTTTAGCTGGCCCGGGCGGGCTCGAAACTGCCAGCCTCGGTGTATGTGGCTGGCGCCGTAACCACTGTGCTAAGGGCGCCAAGCCTCAAAACCCTTTATAAAAAACAGCCGGGCATTGCGGCGGGCGCCTGTAGTCTCAGCTACTTGGGAAGCTGAGGCAAGAGGATCGCTTGAGCCCAATAGTTTGAGGTTGCTCTGAGCTGTGATGCCCAAAACTGCAACAACATGGGCAGCGCCTGTGACTCAAAGGAGTAGGGCTCCAGCCCCATATGCCGGAGGTGGCGGGTTCAAACCCAACCGCGGCCAAAAACTGCAAAAAAAAAAAAAAAACTGCAACGACATCAACAAAAACATTAAATGAAGTAGTACAAATCAACTTTGTAAATGGTGAGGTGATTTGTAATATTCGTTATGGTAGTTTTTCTTTAGAAAAGTAGCATAAATATAGGTTAAGATTAATAATTCAGTTTTAGCAAAAAAGATAGATTTTGTTAATCTCCAGACAAAAGGTAGTTGGGGGTTTACAATAAGCATAAGAACTAAGAAATACTATAGCATACTTACTATCCTTGCTGTTATTTTAACTGAATATTAAGTAAATTCCTTCATTCATTGAAATGCATGTTAAGTAAATTCTCTCTTTCAGTGGAGTTGAATAAAATGTTGATTCTGTTAAGTCCAGACATAGAGACTTTCTCCCATTGCCTGGACATTTTAAATCATTTTTAAAGCCATTTCTGTGAATGTATTTCTTGCTAGTATAAATTTGGATATAAGGATTTAAAAATTAAATTTGATAGTATTACCACATTAACGTTTATATTATTTGGCTCATTATTCCCATCACACCTATGAAAGGTTATTTCTGTTTAATAAAATCATTAAATAATCTGGAAAAATGTACATTTTGAGAGAAATTATCAGCAAAATTGTGTCAAATACAGACTATCCTTAGGACTTGTAAGCAGAACTAAATGTGCAGAAACAATTCTACAAGTTACTTCATTGTTTTTTTCTGTGCTCACAAAGGAATGTTGCAAGTGGGGTGTATGTGGGAGGGTTTAATTTCTAGACTGTATTTAAGAATTTTTGTTAGTACATTAGTGCTCAAATTCAGAAGATAATTGTGGTCTACAAAATTGCCAGTAGTTAAATTATTAAGGAAGATTAGGAGAGTGTAGTCTTCAAATTTAGCTAGATTATCTGAACTTTTAGTTCTCTATTGTTTTTGGTTACTCTTTTTTTTTTTTTTTTTTGGCAGTTTTTGGCCAGAGATAAGTTCGAACCTGCCACCTCCAGCATATGGGGCCAGCGTCCTACTCCTTGAGCTACAGGCACCTCCCCTAGTTCTCTATTGTTAAAAGAAAATGCTTTTCTCTTTTGAAATGGTGATCTCCGGGCACCACCTGTGGCTCAGTGAGTTGGGTACCGGCCCCATATACTGAGGGTGGCGAGTTTGAACCCAACCCCGGCCAAACTGCAACAAAAAATAGCTGGGCGTTGTGGTAGGCACCTGTAGTCCCAGCTACTCGGGAGGCTGAGGCAAGAGAATCGCCTAAGCCCAGGAATTGGAGGTTGCTGTCCGCTGTGGTGCTATGGCACTCTACTGAGGGCAATAAAGTGAGACTCTGTCTCTTAAAAAAAAAAGAAAGAAAGAAAAAGAAATGGTGATCCCAGTTGGCAGGTATTATAACATCACCAGGAAAGTTATACTGTAAAATAACTACTATATATCTTCAGTGGCAACTAATATCTCAGAGTCTGTAAGTACAAGGACAGCTCCTCTATTCCCTTATTTTAACTGCCCATCTTCAGCTGTCCTATTTTCAGGATATGTAGAAACCACAGATTTGTATGGAGTATTGCAGGGGCATACTTCCTATCCTTTTATACAAGGGTAAAAGATGGTTTTCTTTATTATTCTCTGTAACCCTTACTGGAGATACAGAGCCATACAATTAAAGGATTCAGGGATTCTCCTATTATAACTCTTGTGTATTATCCTAGAGTTTTAGTTTTTCTTACTTTCTCTCAAATTGTGCTCCCTAATCTAGACTTCATCCTTATTGAAGTCTATCACTATCCTGCCTGTTTACACAAAACATGTTGTTAGCACCTTGTATAATTATTTGTTTCTTGAAATTTTCTACCTAGAATGATAATCATCTCACTGGAGATTTTGTTCTCCTAGATTAGTGGTTCTTCAGCCTTCGCTGTGCATCAGAATAGAGATTTAAACAACTGTAGGGGCCCAGGCCACACACACACAGAGACTGGGGGGACAGTGAGGAGATGGGGGTGGGGTAGGCCTTGCTTTTTTAAAAATTTTGGATAAGTATTCATATACTTTATCTTCTTAATTTTAATAGATTTAGGAGATATAAGTTGAATTCTGTTACATGTGTATATGATATGGTGGTGGAGTATAGGCTTTTGTTGTATCCATCTCCCAAATATTGTACATTAGGTGATTCTAGTGTGGAACCAGGGTAGAAAGTCTGTGATGTAGGTAGTGTATAAATACACTCCTTAATATTGGGCCCCATCTCTGAGGATCTCACTGTTAACACTTTGTTTCCAGACTCAGATCCATACATTTTAAACCTTTTATTTTCTAAATTCCCAATTCATGGCAAAACATCTTTTTCTCAGTTCCTTGCCAGCTCAATTTTTTTTAATACTTGGTGTAATGTTTTGTCTGAGACATTTTTGAAAGCTGGTAATCACTGGGTCCTACTCATCCACAAGCTTGTGCTACCACTGTTACAAACAATTGTAATTCTTTATGTTCACAAATACCCTGGCACACCCACAATAAACACTTTTAATTCTTTGTTAAACTACTGTTGAACATCATAGGTACTCAGTACATCCTTCTTGTTGACCCAGATTAATCAGTCATGATTTTACCTTATAGAAGTGGTTCTGCCCCCCCCCCTTTTTTTTGAGACAGAGTCTTACTCCGTTGGCCTTGGTTGAGTACTATGGCATCACAGCTCAGAGCAACCTCAAATTCTTTTGCATAAGCGATTCTCTTGCCTTAGCCTCCTAAGTAGCTGGGAGTACAGGTGCCTGCCACAATGCCGGCTATTTTTGGTTGCAGTTGCCACTTCTGTTTTAGCTGGCTGGGGCCAGGTTCGAACCCACCACCCCTTGGTATATGGGGCCGGCGCCCTACCTACTGAACCACAGGCACCACCTGGTCCTGTCCTTTAACATCGAAGATATACTTGGCTGTAGTTTGCTGACCCTTGTGTTAGCTCTTTGTATTTTTTTTTGAGACAGAGTCTCACTTTGTCACCCTTGGTAAAGTGCTGTGATGTCATAGCTCACAGCAACCTCAAACTGTTGGGCTCAAGTGATCCCCTTGCCTTAGCCTCCTAGGCAGCTGGGACTACAGGCGCCTGCCACAATGCCTGGTTGTTTTTAAAGACAGGGTCTTGCTCTTGCTCAGGCTGGTCCTGAACTCCTGAGCTCAAGCAATCTATCTGCCTCGGCCTCCTGGAGTGCTGGGATTACAGGTTTGAGCCACCTCTCCAGGCCTAGCTTTTTTTTTTTTTTTTTTTTTTTTTTGAGACAGAGTCTCTCTATGTCACCCTTGGTAGAATGCTGTTGCATAACAGCTCACAGCAACCTCAAACTCTTGGGCTTAAGTGATTCTCTTGCCTCACCCTTCCAAGTAGCTGGGACTATAGGGGCCCACCACAATGTGGCTATTTTATTTTTGTTGTTGTCATTGTTGTTTAGGTTTGAACCCACCAGCCCTGGTGTATGTGGCCAGCGCCCTAACCACTGTGCTATGGGTGCCAACCCACTTTTTGTATTCTTAATATCTAATGCCTTTCTGGCTGGGCAAGGTGGCTCACACCTATAATGCTAGCACTGTGCGAGGCCAACGCAGGGGGATTGCTTGAGCTCAAGGGTTTGAGACCAGCCTGAGCAAGATCAAGACCCTGCCTGTAAAAATAACTAGGCATTGTGCCAGGCACTTGTAGTCCCAGATACTCAGGAAGCTGAGATAAGACAATCACTTGAGCCCAGGATTTTGAGGTTGCTGTGAGCTATGATGCCATAGCACTCTACCAAGGGTGACAAAATAAGACTATTTAAAAAAAAAAAAAATCTAATCCTTTTCTTTTATTTCTTTGTATTTTAGTTGCTGCAGCTCACGCAATTGCTGAAGAAAGGAGGAATCAAAGTGGAGTTAGCTCGTTTACATCCCAATCTTCAAATATTAAATCATCATTTAAACCAGGTATCATTTCTATAATGTTCTAATACAGTGGTTCTCAACCTTCCTAATGCTGCGACCCTAAAATACAGTTCCTCATGTTTTAAACTGTATTAAAGGATTGAGGAACTGTATTTAAGGAAGGTTGAGAACCACTGCTGTAATAGATGTCAATGTGATATCTTTAAACTTTGGTATCCTTCTGTCAGTATCTAACTATGTTCTTTTTTTTTTTTTTAGTTATTGATGGATCTGTGCTTAAAAATGATGTAAAACAAAGATTAGCAAAGGAACGCAGGGAAGAGACAAGGAGACAACAAGATGGTATATTTTAGACTTTTAGTAAAATCATAATTAGTGAATTTTATGTATGTATATATTTCAAAGTATTTTACTTGCTTTTCTTAATTTTTTTCATGATAATTTTTATATTACATATTATATTGGGTTAAATCCTTGTACTAAATTAAGTAAGGAAGGCCCATGAAAAATCTTTGACTAAATTGTTTAATTTTTGAAGGATTAGTTTCTGTTAGCATTGATTTTCTAAAAACTAAGGTATGAAAATTTCTTCAACATTTGTAAAGACAAGCGGAGTGAGATTTCAGTAAATTGACTCTAAAAATAAAAATGAGTTCCTAATAATTTTAGCATAGCAAGTTGTAGAAAGATTATTCTTTTTTGTTGTTTGTTTGTTTTTTGAGACAGAGCTTCATTATGTCACCCTTGGTAGAGTGCTGTGGTGTCACAGCTCACAGCAACCTCAAACTCTTGGGCTTAAGCAATTCTCTTGCCTCAGCCTCCCAAGTAGCTGGGACTACAGACACCCACCACAATGCCTGGCTGTTTTTTTGTTGTAGTTGTCTTTGTTGTTTAGCTGGCCTGGGCCGGATTTGAACCCAGCAGCCCTGGTGTATGTGGCTGGCTCTAACCACTGAGCAACAGGTGTCGAGCCAGAAAAGTTATTCTTTTAGGTGCTAATTTATACAAAGTCATACTTACTCTCTTCTTTTCCTGAGACAGGTTCTCACTCTGTTACCCTGGGTGAAGTAGCCTGGTGTCATAACTTAAAGCAACCTCAAACTCCTGGGCTCATGCAATCCTTCTTTCCTCAGCTTCCCAAGTAGCTGGAACTGTAGGCGCCTGCCACAATACCCAGCTAGTTTTTCTATTTTTAGTAGAGATTGGGGGAGTTCCTGCTTTTACTCAGGCTGATCTCCAACTCCTGAGCTCAGGCAATTCACCCACCTCCACTTCCCAGATGCTAGGATTATAGGTATGAGCCACTGTGCCTGGCCTTTTTATTTATTTATGTATTTTTTGACACAGAGTCTTACTTTTTCACCCTCAGTAGAGTGCCTGTGGCATCACAGGTGAACCACAGACTCTTGGGCTCAATGTGGTTCTCTTGCCTCAGCCTCCCTGGTAGCTGGGACTACAGGCACCTGCCACAATGCCTGGCTGTTTTTTAGAGATGGGGGTCTCCCTCTTGCTTAGGCTGATCTCAAACTCTTGAGTTCAAGCAACCCACCCCACCTCAGCCTCCCAGAATGCTAGAATTACAGGCATGAGCCACCAGGCCCAAAGTCACACTTTAGAAGCATTTAATGAGAGAAAATTAGAATATAGGAAAATAGTATGCTACTGTTCTGTAGTGTGGTATAGTACGGCCAAGTCCATTAATATAAGACCATCATGCTTAATATGGTCTGTATAGGTGAGAACTTTGAAAGAAGTTTCCTAGTAGAAGGAAATAAACATTCTGGCATTGTGATTTTTAAATTTATATTTTAATATACAGCATATTAATTGGGAGAGGTTTGACTTTTGTTTAAATCAGCAGAAATATTACATGAAAGAAAATATTCTCAATTTGGAATTGTAGTTTGGACAGGATGGAAGTCATTTAGGTGGACAATTCAGTTCTCCAGAGTCAAATGAATACCCAGTGAAAATGGTTTCTTAGTGGCCACTTCTGCTCACTTACACTCTTCAGTTAGTAGCATAGGTTGTATTTTAAGGAGGAGAATGAAAATATGTTAAATTTTTCCTTCTGTATGTGTAATATGGAAAAATCAAATATTTTCTTGGCTCTTAACACCTTGAAAATGTACTTGGAATATTTCAGCCAATAAAGAAATGCAACTACTTGAAAAAGCAAGAAAGGCCAAACTCCAATATGAAAAACAAATGGAAGAAAAGCAGCGAAAGCTGAGAGAGCAAAAAGAAAAAGATGAACAGCGGAGAATATCTGCAGAAGAAAAAAGAAAACAGAAGTTAGAAGAAGAAAGGGTATATAAATCTGTTGCCTGTTTATCAGATGATACACTGTGTTGCTTAGTTCTAGAATAATTTTTTTTTTTAGACATTTTCTGCCTTTATTGGCCCTATAGAAAGGGAACCAGTCCCAGCTCATTCTTCTCTCTCTTCTTCCTCTCAGTATTAGTAACTCTTACTCCTATCCTCATAAGATCCCAAGAGCTGAGACCCACTATCTTTTTTTTTTTTTTTTTTTGCAGTTTTTGGCCAGGGCTAGGTTTAAACCCACCACCTCTGGCATATGAGGCTGGCACCCTACTCCTTGAGCCACAGGGACTGCCCCGAGACCCACTATCTTACAGAAAGAGGAACCTGGCAGGTCCAGGAACAGAGACCCATCTCCTGTCAGGTTGTAGTGTATAGGGTTTACTCTGAGCTGCTGTCTATCAAAAAATGTTCACCATTGTGCCACTGCCTAGAGAATAATAAGGGCAGACCCCACCATTTGACCCTCCCTCACATACTCACATTGGACTACTTTTTCTCACAACTGCTCTAATTGTCTGACTCCCCAGCCAAGTCTGAGTACTTACTCTCCCTTATAGGTTCCTTGGCTCCCTCCTTCGTGCAGTACATATACTCTCTCCTTCCCCAGCCCTTATGTTTCTCACATTCCCTTTCCTGATGGGGCCTCTTTGGATCTCTGGTTCATAGGCAGAATTCTGTCTCTTGTTTTGTGGTCCTGTTACTCTTTATCTTTCTGGACTCTTTTTTGGTGTCTTTGGCATTCTGTTGGCATGAGTTGATAGCTTTGTTATGCCCTCTCTTATTCCTTTCTGTCCCTCTTCAGTAAGTTTGTCTTTTGTTATTTATCTTGAGCATCAGGCTACCTGTCTCATTCTATATGATTTGCTTTCTTTGACACCAACTTTTTCTCTTTACTGTGAGGATGCTTGACTCTTTCTGAAACTGGCACGGTATCTGTGACACCATTCTCTTTATTGCTGGCATTCTCTCTATCCAAGGACTCTCAGATGTCCCTAAATCTTAGTCTGTCTCTGGGTCTCTATCTGACTCAAGCCTTTTTCTAACTGGGGCCCTTCACTTTTCTTTCTACTGTCTTTGTTTTGGCTTCTCTGTTTTTCTTCATCTTTGGACTCTGCCTGCTGTTCTTTCATTGTGTGTATATTTTTATCTCCCTTTCATATTCTCTGTTCTAATTTTTGTATTTATTTTTCTCTCCTTTGCTTATTGGTTCTATTTCTTTGGCTTTCTCTGTGGTGCTCACTTTTCCTTATTCCTTGTGCACACAGTTGCTCTTGCACTTGCTTTACCTCCAGCCCTGTACCCCCTCTGGAGATCTTCCTGACTCAGTCACTTCTCATGCCATTTCTTTTTTTTTAATAGTTATAACATTCTATATTTGTTTTTTTTAATTTTTTTTTTATTAAATCATAGCAGTGTACATTAATACTATCATGGGGGTACAGTGTACTGTTTCTGTATACAATTTTAAATACTTTCATCCAACTGGTTAACATAGCCTTCATGTCTTTTTCTTATTGTGTTAAGACATTTATATTCTCCATTTAGAGAGATTCACATGTACCCTTATAGGATGAACCATAGGTGTGATCCCACCTCTCATGCCATTTCTTACCCATCCATGGCCCACTATCTTTTTCTTCTTCTGTCTTTCTGACCTGTCATTGCCACTGGTCAGGGTCCAGGACTGGTTGGTCTCCGGCCCTGGCTTACTATGTTCCAGACGCCAACTGCTATGCTACCTTGCTCAGGAACAGTTGATCTTAGGTGCCTAAGGGCTATTTACCTTAGCAGAGAGAGAGAGAGAGAGAGAGAGTCTTTG